CTCAAAACATAACTAATGAACAGAGGAAATGTTAGTTTAGTGCCAGGAATGCCTACATTGTTCATTTCTGGACCCTATTTTGAATTGGAATATTTTGAACTTTGTGTTAAATTGGCCAAATTAACAATTTCCGATCACTTTATTTTGTAGTTGAAACAGTTGACTTGGCGATTTCTTGTGCTCAATCGATAGAATAGAAGTAATACTAGTGAAATAGCTAAGAATTTGGTTGATTGGAATAATGTAATTGGCCTAAAATGGGAGTCAAAGTCGGCAAAATCGCCGATTCGTAAATATCGCTGACACATCAAAATTCGCGAGAGCATAATTTCGTCAATTTTCCACCAATTTTCGTACTTTTTGTTTTATTACCTTCACAAAAAGATTTTCTACGATTTCATAAGAAAAAATAACAAATTTTTTTTTTTGAAATATCTTGGACACTGGTGCGTGACTCCAGATTTGGGCCTTGGACCCTGAAAGGGTTAAGAACCCTTGAAAAAGCTCATCATGGCACGGCGATTTATTTTGCTTCAAACGGTCTATCTGTTTGATAACCATTTCACTAGTGACTGTCATATTACATAACTGATCTTCCTCAGGCCCACTAAAAAACCCAATTATTGGGATATTATTAGTGTCTTCCTGAGTGAAAACGAAGGGAAAATAATTATCAAAAACAGAGCACATTTCATTCTCTTTGTCAGTAAGATACCCACAGCTATTTTTAAGAGGACCTATCTGATCTCTAACTTTTGTTCTATACACCTGGAAAAAAAAACTTTTGGGTTAGTTTTTGCATCCCTAGCAACTTTAATTTCGTAGTCCCGTTTAGCTTTCCTCATCCCCTTTTTAATGTCCCTCTTAATATCAATGTACTGATTCATTAGATGACCTTCACCTCCTTTGATACACTTAAAAATTCCTTTCTTCTGCTCTACAAGATATTTAAGCCTATTATTCATCCATTTTGGGTCATTTCTATTCGATTCCCCAGTGGAATCCCGCCTACCAGTGACTATGCCCTCGTCTGCTACACGTCTCTCTTCACTGACGCCTATATAAGCGCCAGTCTCCTTACCTCTGCTTCAGAATCTCTACAACCACGGTGTTGTAAACACCACCTCCAAGGCTGAGGGACTGATTATCTCATCTTTTGTATATAGTTCTTCTGTTTTCTAATTATGTCCAAGAATTTGTATTGATAAAGCCACTGGATGGTGAAACGTTTACAATGAAGATAACCAGATGTTGCACAAGTGTCTTAACTTTCATCTTGTCAGTATTGTATACCTGTCTTGCACAACTTGTCAGGCACTGCAACATCATGGTATCTTGATTCAGAGGACATCTACAAGACCTTCTTCACGACTTCTACAACTAGCCCATCAATTTGGGAAGGACCTACTTCCACTGGGGAATCCCACCTACCAGTGACTATGCCCTCGTCTGCTACACGTCTCTCTTCACTGACGCCTATATAAGCGCCAGTCTCCTTACCTCTGCTTCAGAATCTCTACAACCACGGTGTTGTAAACACCACCTCCAAGGCTGAGGGACTGATTACCTCGTCTTTTGTATATAGTTCTTCTGTTTTCTAATTATGTCCAAGAATTTGTATTGATAAAGCCACTGGATGGTGAAACATTTACAATAAAGATAACCAGATGTTGCACAAGTGTCTTAACTTTCAGCATGTATAGTGTTCAGAAAACTGTCACATTGATAGCTCTCTTCGTTACCCCAGTCCACAGATGATAAGTGTTCTCTAAGCCCATTGTAATCTGCTAAGCAAAAATCTGGGACCGTTACCGAATTATCCCAACTATCATACTTCCATTCAGTGCTAAAGGTAATTGATTTGTGGTCGCTTGCGCCGAGTTCCTCTGTAATTTCTCAATTATTAACAAGGGTTTCTTATATCATAATGTAAATTGTTCCATTGTAATACCAAATTTCATTGTTTTAAATAGTACTAAACTGTAATATATCATATTGTTACATTGTAACACTATAATCTTTATTAACTCATTCAATAGTGTAATAAGTCTCTACTAGATTAATCAAAACCATGTAGCATTACCTGACAGAATATAAAATTCTACTGTACTCACTGTAACTCATCTAATGACCATATGAACTATGTATTATTGCCTTACTAATCTTAAGTTAATCTTTCAGTTTGCCCAAAATGCTCTGCATACAAAGGGGCTTTTGGCATGTACACTCAACTATTATATTCCTCTGTACAGCCATATAATTTGTCAAAATAAATATCTTTATCCTTATCTTATTATTATTTATTATTATGTATGTATTATAATAATTATTATTATTATTATTATTAATTTAGGGAACTGGAGCACAGATCCAATTCCCTAGATCAAGAGCCCCTCACCAAGGAACCTCCCTTGAAGGGGAAGCTCGCATCCTGAAATTTGGTTCGTATCCAGAATTAAACAATCGACCGTGCGTCTTTTCATATCCTAAAAAATTCACACGGTGGGGCATACATAAGCCAAGGTTCCACTGTATATATATCCACTCGTTGTATGCAACACAATAACCTCACAAACATTGTTATCATTATATTGTTTACATAATAGGTTTACACAAACCCATGATGTCTTCCCCACCCACACCATCTTCCCTGCCACCCACGCTGCTTTCTACATACCCAAATTGTCTTCCCCACCACTCATGCTTGACTTTTTTGAGTTATCCTAGGTTCTCTACACATGCTGCTATGTATGATAATTTATGTAGCTGCATTCATGAGTACCTGAATAAGTTTACTTACATGCTGTCTTCCCAACCATTACCATCATCCCCACCATCCATGCTGCTTTCCCTATCCACACACCATCATCCTCACCATCCATGCTGCTTTCTCCACCACTCACACTGTCTTCCCCATGCTGGAAATAAGTCACTCAGACTTTTTCTGGGTTATCCTAGGTTCTCTATACATGCTGATATGTATGATAATCTATGTAACTGTATTCGTGTATACCTGAATAAACTTACACACCATCTTCCCAACCACCCACACCATCTTCCCCACCATCCATGCTGTCTTCCCCACCATTCAAGCTGCTTTCCCAAACACCCAAGCTGCCTTCCCCACTGCCCAAGATGCCATCCCTTTTCACTATCTGTATCTGGTATCCTGGGTATTGCTTCTGGTCACAAACTCCTCAAAACCATGAAATTCATCTTCACTAACACTTCCATCTGTGTTAGAACTATCACTTGGGAAGAGAAGAGTCCCAATTAACTGGGAGTGAGATATTTCTTACCACGAGGCATGATAAACAAGTACAGTGGTACCTTGAGTTTCGAACAGCTTCCAAACTGAACAATTATGTAAGTATATTTTTGTAAGCCCTTTGTAAGTGAATTTTTGGGGGTCTGAAACGGACTAATCTAATTTGCATTATTCCTATTGGGAAAAATTCGTTCGGGATCGGCACTCAAACAGCCTTCTGGAACAAATTAAGTTCGTAACTCGAGGTACCACTGTACTACTGAAATGGCGTACCCACAATGCACTACTGGCTCCCCGATTTTTTTATACTGCGCACACTGAGCATGTAGACCCATTCTCTCACATGTAGGCCTATCACTTTCTCCCGTTAGATTTGAAGCCACCAGAATTTTGGCATAGTGCTACAGTACCAACACTGACTCATAAGCTGTAGTACTACAGCACCAACAGTGAAAGGGTTAATGTTACACACTTTCTGCATCCAACCCTTATATTACTCCAAGTAGTCCTTGAATTTACACATTTATATTCCTTCTTTTCCTACATTAACTGATCCTTTAACATTATTGCTACTCCTTCCTTAGCTCTAACTCTCTCAGATACCCCTGACCTAATCCCACTTATTTTTTCCCACTGAAATTCTCCTATCCCCTTCAGCTGTTTCACTTAGAGCCAGGACATCTAGCTTCTTTTCATTTATAATATTAACAATCATCTCTCTCTTATCATCTGCGCTACATCCACACACATTCAAACATCCCAAGTTCATATTTTTTCTCCTTATATTTAGTAATTAATACAGGAGAAGGGGTTACTAGCCTCTTGCTTCCAGCATTTAAGTTGCCTATTAAGAAAAACAAAAGAACACTCAGCTGGGTGTGTATACATAAGAAGCATACACGTCTGTGCAGCATAACCTAAGTGTAAATAGAAGTAGCAAGATGTACCTGTTATCCCTTGTTAATGAGACAAGAAGAAACAATCCTACCATTGTGTAAAACAATGGTAAGATTGTTTCACACTCTTTCGGCAGGACGGTAGTACCTCAATGGGTGGTTGCTCTAGTTCAATACTATTAAATGTTAATTTTCTTTTTTCAACAAACCTGCAGCATCCCACTGAGGCAGGGTGACCTAAAAAGAAAAAATGAAAGTTTTTCTTTTTAAGTTTAGCAATTTAGAGAATGCTCCTGGCATTTTGACACGCATGGCTGACGGAAGAAGAATATGAGCATTTATATTCAGAAAACTGAACACTTCTTTCAGTTGAACACTGAAGTTAATAGTTTTAACAGTGCTTAAGGGATAGTCATTATGCCCATCACAGTTACAGTAGAGTAAACCCTCGATACAACAGACTAATGGAGGGGATTGATCAAGTGTCCGATAAATCAGAATATTTAAAAATGCAACCAAAAAAAGTAGTGAAGTACGTACTATACTGTATACTTAATATAGTACTGCACATACAATTTACTGTTATATTGTAATAACATTGAAAATAAATTAATGCACAATTTACCGAATGGATTTTGCCCATTATTTTTCAGCCCTGTTACAATGAGGATTGACTCACTGAGTATTTTTCCCTAGAATGATGTCAAGCAAGTTGTTGTTTTGAATTCTTTACTAACTGTTCTATGTTTTAATTAACTAGCAGAACAGAATATCACAAAGGCACAGTTAACAGTTCAGTACTATGAGCAAGACCAAAAACAAATAATTTTTAAACATCATGTACTCTGACCTTCAGTTGCGATCAGCAGTCCAGTTGCTCTCCAGAGTCCCTGTCTAAACTCTACTTCACTCTTGTTATCACAAGCCATCTTAATGTCTCCCAACAGTTTAACTACCAACTTATCTCGCTGAATGTCATCTGTGGCCATAAGCAGTAGACCAGATATTTCTCCTTGGTAATGAGTTCTCAGGCTTAGAGACTTCATGAAAGAAGATGTCAAATCACTCATTCCCTTGTACCGCTTGTCCAGAGTAGCCTGTAAAAAAAGTGCATAATTTTAATGGACCAAATAATACAGGTCAGCCATCACTAATCCGGCAATCTGTTATCCAGATTCATCAGTAATCCGGCACTAATTTAGGCTAACATAATTTCAAATTTCATCATTATACTGACTTAGAAATTGTGCAGATGGTTGTAAATCCACAGTAGCAAGCCAGTGGAGGAGAAAGCAGTGATGAAAATGAGGAAGATGTAGCAGAAAGTCCCCTCTTTTGATGGGTTTAATTAAGTTATATTCTAACCTAACCACTCTGTAATCCAGCAAACTCACTAATCTGGCACACTACAGATCCCAATGATGCCAGATTAGTGATTGCTGATCTGTAGTAATACTTTATTTCAGCATGATACAATGTTTGTACAAAGGTAAATGAAATTAGGGTGAACATGCAGAAAGCCCTTATATATGCAGAGCATTTTGGGCAAACCTAAGACTATTTTAAGATTAATAAGGCAATAACAATATGAATAATTTAATACATAGAGTCACTTGAGTGAATGTAAGTATAAATCTAGGGATTTACAATGAATAAAGTGGATTGAATACCCTATTAGTTCATGTTATGTGGCTTTTACAAGTTTAACTGAGAGGAATTATGGGTTTGACTATTAAAAATACAGGGGACACAATAAAATTTTTTAAATGTTTGGGAGGATTACAAAAGGGTTAAGAGAAGGTTTATATTGTTTTTACATTGTTTTAATGACATTGAAACTATGCATGTAAGTTTTCACATATTTAGCTGATGCTGGGATATGTTAGGGAGATTAGGTGTTTTTTAACAGTAGTTTTGAAAATGCTGGCTGAGTGTGTGGTTCTGGAGATTTCTGGCAGAGAGTTCCAGATTTTGGGCCCTTTTATGTACACTGAATTTTTGAAGAGATTTAGCTGGACACGGGGAATGACAAAAGATTTTTGTGCCTAGTAATATGTCTCAGGGTCCTGTTGCAACTATCAAGAATGTGCTTCAAGTCAGGATTTAGAGTTTTGAATATTGGTGGAGTGTGCTGCCTGTAGTGGGAATTTGTTATCATTCTGACTGCAGCCTTTTGTTGGGTAATTAGTGGTCTGAGAGGGGTTTATTGTTTTGAGCCCCATGCACAAATTCCATAGGTGAGATAGGGGTAAATAAGCGAGTGATAAAGGGCCAGGAGGGCTGACTGTGGAACAAAGTACCGTATCTTCGATAGTATGCCTACAGTCTTGGAAATTTTCTTAGAAATTTGTTGTACATGTGTATGAAATTTGAGTCTATTATTGGAGGTGGATTCCTAAGAAATTTTCCTCTGTTAGCTTTGTGATAGGTGTTTCCGTTTATTCGTTATGTTAAGAGGTACATCTGTAGCTCTGGTTTACCAAACTGAATGAAGTAGGTTTTGTCAATGTTTAGTGTAAGTTTTTTTAGTCCTCATCCAGGTAATATTTTCTGTAATTCGGTGTTTACAGTATTGGCTAGCGTGACTGGGCTCGGGTGAGAGAAGACGTATGTAGTGTAATCGGGCAAAAAGTGTGGTTTGAGTAACTGCGAAGCATTTGGTAGGTCATTTATGTATAGGAGAAAGAGAAGAGGGCCAAGGACATTTCCCTGTGGGACACCAACTGTAATTGGTTGTGCGGAAGAGCTTGCCCCATTTGTGTACAAAATATGGCTTCTGTTGCTGAGGTAAGACTTGGGGTAGTTGAGGGAGTGCCCTTTTATACCAAAAGTGGGGGACAATTTTACGTGGAGCAAGTCATGGCAACTGTATCAAAAGCTTTACGTAAGTCAATGAAATCCCAGTGGGACTTCTTTTTCTCTATTGCATTGTATAAAATGTTCTACCCATGTGTATAATAGCATCTTTAGTATTTTATTAGGCCCTGAATCCAAATTGGCAGGGGTTGAGAATTTTTTTGGGAGATGAGGTAGGAGTAGATTCGTTTATGAATTAATTTTTCGAAGATTTTTGAGAGAGGGTGTAAATTGGATATTGGCCTATAGTTATTCAACTCTGTTTGGTCTCCTCCTTTAATGGATCAGGGTGACCCTTGCTATTTTGAGAACTGTAGGAAGGGAAATTCAATGGATTGTTAAAGAATGTTGCAATGATTGGTGATAGCACTTGTTGATGCTTTTTGTATATAAAGGGTGGTAAGGTTTTTTAAATCTCCTGTCTTGTTTTTTTAGTGTGTTGATAAAAAGGGAGACTCATTTGGGGTTAGTCAAGCTAAGGAACATGTGTCGTGGTTTTTACCAGTGAAGTAGTCATTGGTGGGGTATCGAGCTTGGGTTTTTATTGGCTAGGTTTTTTCCTATAGTGGAGAAGAAATCATTGAGTCTGTATGCTGTTTCAGTTGGTGGGAGTTGGGGTTCATCTGGTTTTGTTAATTCAATTTTGCTATGTATAGTTGCAGATAATTCAATTTCGCTAAGTATAGTTGCAGATAATAGCATGTGATTCAGCCAGGTATACAAAATCACCTATCAATGTGTACATATGTGTTTGTGACAGTATGATTAATAATTCCCTACATATTATTTGTGTATAAACAACAAGTGGCCATGAAATCAAAAGATTTACTATAAAACATAATTATCATACCATGAAAACTAAGAAAATAAAAAAAAATGGAAAAAACAAAACAATAAATACGTAGAATTTCTGCAAGCGGCACTGCTCCATGTTGCTGTTAGGTGATTGTCAGGTGCCAACTTCATGGCCTCATATCTCAGTAAGTACTGACCCTAATTTTTTTTTTATTATATTACATGTAGAAAAATGCACTCTTTATTAAAAAAAAATCAAAATATTTGGAGCACTGGGCAAGAGAACATAAATCTACGTTTGGCCAGTTAACAGGTAAAACATATAGAGTACCAAGCTTAAAAAAATTACATGTATGTTCATAAATACATTGTCAGTCAAATTTTAATAGAAGCATGATGAAAGGTTGGAAAACTCATGGTAAGAATAATGTTCTTTTTTTGCTTTCAGGTGTAACGTAGTACAGGGGGACCCCTGCATAATGTCCCTCCGAATGTGACCAATTATGTAAGTGAAATTTTTGTATGCATTTGTACGTGTATTTTTGGTGGTCTGAAATGGACTAATCTACTTCACAATATTCCTTATGGGAACAAATTCGGTCAGTACTGTACCTGAACATACTTCTGGAGTGAAAAAATATCGTTAACCGGGGGTCCACTGTATTTCACTCAATATCCCATTATCTGCTGTTTGGAGTGACATCTGAATGTCATATCTACATGCCTCTCCCAAAGACAGTGATTATGTTTTGAATTGTGATGAAAGTGTTTCTTTTTTGGGTCACCCTGCCTCAGTGGGGATTGGGCCAGCATATTGAAAAAAAAAAATCTCTATACAAACGGATTACGTAAGCTGCTTTCTAAATGTCATGACCTTAATTATGTGACAGGCTTGTAGCCAACGGGGGGTTGGAGAGGTGCTGCATCTCCCATGGATATCTTCTGGCCCACTGTGGGAATTTTCAGAAATGGCAAATACATACAAGCTTAAACATGCATGTGAACCTCTAAATGAGAGAATTTATCACCAGAATTCATGGCTTGAAAAGAGAATAGCTGCAACAAAGCATGAGTATTGATGGACATGAGTTAACCCTTAAACCGTCCAAGCAGATCTACGTTCATATGCGTAATGCTTCAAAAGTAGATCTACGTTTTTTTACATATTTTCAAATATAAAAAAAACAAAAAGTAATCCAAGTTTTTTTACAGTTTTCAAAATGTAAAAAAAAAAAAGATCTACTTTTTTTACATACTTCAAATGTTGAAAAAACATAGATCTATGTTTGGACAGTTTAACCCTTTGACTGCCGCGGTCGTATATATACATCATAGGAGATACCGTGTTTGACGTATCAATACATCTATACCATAAATTCTAGCAGCTTCAAATCAAGCAGGAGAAAGCTGGTAGGCCCACATGTGAGAGAATGGGTCTCCATGGTCAGTGCACCATATAAAAAAAATCGGGGAGCCAGTGGTGCATTGGGGGGAATGCCATTTAATCAGTCGTCCTTTTTCAGCATGTCTAGCGGTAAGAAAAATGTGACCTCCCCGGGCAAATCGGGGACTCTTCTCTTCCCAAGTGATGCTCTAACACAGATGGAAGTGTCAGTGAAGATCAATTCATGATTTCGAGGAGTTTGAGACCAAAAGCAATGGAGGGGGAGGAGGGGGAGGAGGAGAAGAGGAGGAGGAAGAAGAAGAGGAGGGAGGGGGAAGAAGAAGAGGAGGAAGAAGAGGAGGGGGAAGAAAGGAGGAGGAAGGAAGGAAAGGAGGAAGAGGAAGGAAGGAGGAAGAGGAAGGAGGGAGGAGGGGGGAGGTGGGAGGGAGGAGGGAAGGAGGGAGGAAGAAGGAGGAGGAAGGAGGAGGGAGGGGAAAGGGAGGAAGGAGGAGAAGGAGGGAGGGGGAGGAAGGAGGGGGAGGAGGAGGAGGAAGGAGGGGGTGGGAAGGAGGGAGGAAGAGGGAGGTGGAGGAAGGAGGGAGGAGGAGGAAGGAGGAGGAAGGAGGAGGAGGAAGGAGAAGAAGAAGATAAGAAGAGGAATAATAATATTAATAATAATAATAATAATATGTAATAAAACATAGAATAATATGTTCCCTGAGGCATGAAACAGTTCACTCCATGACAGTGACAAGATAAGGGGAGATAACATCTGATAAGAGCTGACCTTTGATGAGCGTAAAAAGAGGGGAGGGGAGGGGGGCAGCTGTCCATCTGTCAAGAGCCAGGAGGAGGAGGAGAGGAGGAGGAGGAGGGGAGAAGGAGAGGGGGAGGGGGAGGAGGAGAGGAGAAGGAGGAGGAGAAGGGGAGGAAAGGAGGAGGAGGGAGGAGGAGGAGGGAAGGAGAGAAGGGGGAGAGGGGAGAGGAGGAGGAGGAGGAGGAGGAGGGGAGGGAAGGAGGAGGAGGGAAGGAGGAGGAAAGGGAGGAGGAGGAGGAGAAGGT